ATTCTTAAGCCCGTTGTTAAAAATATATCCTCAATTTATAATGTATTTAAAGATTTGCCAACTCATCAAACTTTAGGACCAAGTATCCTGAATTTGGAATTTATGACTTAGTGTCCTGAATATTTGAGCTGCTAATTTGAAATTCAGGACTAAGTGTCCTGAATTTATGAACTGCTATTCAGGACATAACATTCGAACTTCTGGACACAATTTTCGAACTTTCGGACATAATATCCTGAAGTTTGAACTTTGAGGTTTAAATTTTAGGACGTCGTGTCCTGAAGTTTGAGCGCGTTAGCTAATCTTTAAATACATTGTAAACTGTTGTAAATATATTTTAAACACCATGCTTAAAAGTGGCCGCCCGATGTTATTTCCACTCGGTATACTTAGATTTTGTACGGTTATACACATATATTATTTCACTAGCTATGTTTAGTTTAAGTTGGGTTTGTTTAGGTTAATTCCTTATATTTATAGCATGATGTGGTGAGATAATTAAGACGTATATTGATCCTGTATGCTAAAATCACCATTACAGGAAGTTAAGCTAGTCGTATACGGAGCCCGTTTGAATTGGCTTATTGTAAGTGCTTTTAAGCCAAAATAGCTTTTAAGCCATTTTGTAGTGTTTGGATAAAGTAAAAAGTGCTTTTAAGCACTTGTTTTTAAGCTAAAATGACAAAAATAAGCGAAAAGTTAGAATTCCTAACTTATGACTGTTGACTTAAAAATCACTTACAACAAGCCCATCCAAACGGGCTCATGGTTACTCTTTCTAAAAGATATACGCTTGTTGAGTTGTTTCTACTTTTGACAATTAAGTGAATATACCTAAGTTTTACAATTCCTTATATGCATATCTTATCGTTCTCTATTTCAATTTGTTTTCCGGATCTTCGTTGTGGTGAATATCAGTCAGTCTTACATGATTGGAGTGAGGACGAATGTATTCAAATCTTGAAAAATTGCATAAAGATTATCCCAAAAGACACAGGAAAAGTGATAATGGTGGAAGTAGTGCTTGAGAAAGAAAAAGGAGAAGGAAATGAAAAGCTCAAAGATGTTGGTTTTATGCTGGATATGGTAATGATGGCTCACACAACAAATGGAAAAGAAAGAACTGCCAAAGAATGGGCTCAAATTTTGACTGCAGCTGGATTCAGTAGTCATTCTATTAAGCACATCAACGCAATTGAATCTGTTATTTTGGCTTATCCTTGAGCTGTATCAGTTCTCTTATAATTTGTGTTTCAATGTTATTCCAGTTCTCAAGATTGTAGTTTGGTTTGGCTTTTTAATATTTGGTTTGTTTCTTCTATTTAAGCTGTATCATATATGTAAAAATACGTGTGCGCTCTTGCTATATTAATTAATAGGTTGAAACCAACCTGTCTTAATTATGACACTATCCATATTCCATAGTGAAAGAGTAGCATTACCATATTGCACATTCAAGCTCACTTACCCAATTTTTACATAAGTTACCAGCTTATGATCTTTATAGAAAATTAAAGTGACTTGAATGTATTATTAACTTTTTTATACTATCTGTATAAAAAAAGTTAAATTCTAATGATTGTTTTATTGATCGCGTAAAGAAAAATAATTTGGACATAGAACTTTTTCATAACTAATATAATGAGTGCAAGGTCATCCCGAGTGAGCATCTCATGACCCTACATAGGCTCCTAATTATGGACCTGGAGATCAAAAGGAGTAGGAGGAAGAGGGCGGGGTGCAGGCAACCTAAGATCAAGTGGAGTAACTTGACCAAGGACAAAACTCAGGAGTTAGGGGAGAAGTTGTTGGCTATGAGGGCCTGGACGAGTATGGGGGACGCGTCTAGTATGTGGTCCATGACTGCGGATTGCATTAGGGTAGCTGCTGGAGAGGTCTTAGGGGTAACGAAGGGTTCTCCTGGGGGTCATAAAGGGGACTGGTGGTGGAATGGAGAGGTTCAAGGTAAAGTGGAAGCTAAGAAAGCTGCTTATTTGAAGCTAGTAGAGAGTACAAACGAGGAAGAAAAAAGGACTTATCGGGAGTGTTACATAAAGGCGAAGAAAGAGGCAAAGTTAGCAGTTACAACGGCTAAGAACGCAGCATTTGCTCATTTGTACGAGGAGCTCGAGGGCAAAGGCGGGGACAAGACCGGTTGGCTTAGGTGAGGGAGAGGAAAGCCCGTGACTTAGACCAAGTCAAGTGCATCAAGGACGAGGATGGAAAAGTGTTGATGGACGAGGCACTCATTAGGAGAAGGTGGCAGACATACTTCCATAAACTGTTGAATGAGAGGGGGATAGGCACATTGTGCTGGGTGAGTTGGAGCACTCCGAGAGTCGGCAGGATTTTGGGTACTATAGGCGGATTACAGTAGATGAGGTGAAAGGGGTGATGTGTAAGATGTGCAGGGGCAAAGCAACGGGGCCAAACGAAATCCCGGTGGAATACTGAAAGAGCGCGGGGCGGGCAGGTTTGGAGTGGCTCACTAGGTTGTTTAATGTTGTTTTTAAGACAAAGAAGATGCCCGAAGAATGGAGGTGGAGTACGATGGTTCCGCTTTATAAGAACAAGGGTGATATCCAAAATTGCAACAATTATACGGGTATCAAGTTATTGAGTCACACTATGAAGGTTTGGGAGAGGGTGGTGGAGACCAGGGTGAGGAGGTGCGTGTCTATTTTCGAGAATCAGTTTGGATTCATGCCGGGGCGTTCGACTACGGAAGCGATTCATCTGATAAGGAGATTAGTGGAGCAGTACAGGGAGAGGAAGAATGATTTGCATATGGTGTTTATTGACCTTGAGAAGGCATACGATAAAGTTTCAAGGGAGGTCCTATGGAGGTGTTTGGAGGTTAGCGGTGTCCCGGTAGCGTACAATAGGGTGATTAAGGATATGTACGATGATGCAAAGACTCGGGTGAGGACTGTGGGTGGTGACTCGAAGCATTTCCCTGTGGTGATGTGTAACGACCCCGCCGGATGTTTCATGAGTTACAACCCCTTTTCCCCCATTTCTGCTTTTTTATGTGTTGTTCAGCTACATTTCATCGTAGCGTGTTGGTTGGTTCGGGTTTGGAGTGGTTTTGGAGAGCAATGAGACATTTAGTCTCTTAAGTTGGCCTTTTAGTTGGAAAAGTCAATCGAAAGTTGATTTGTGGGTAAATGATATAAATTAGGTTTTTATGGTTCGGATAGCTTCGTTAGGTGATTTGGGACTTATGAGCGTGATCGGAATGTATTTTGGAGGTCTGTGGTAGATTTAGGCTTGAATTAGCGAAATTGGAATTTTAGCATTTTTCGGTTGGTAGTGGAAATTGATATCGGGGTCGGATTGGATTTCCGGAAATTAGAGTAGGTTCTTTGTGTCATTTGTGACGTGTGTGCAAAATTTCAGATTATTCGGATGAGGTTTGATAAGTTTTTGGATCGGTTGCAGAATTCGGAAGTTTTGAAATCCTTAGGCTTGAATCCGAGGGTGATTTGATGTCTCGATGTTGTTTTGAGTGTTCCGAAGGTCGGAATAAGTTTGAATAGTGATATGTGACTTGTTCGTATTTTTGGTTGAGGTCCCGGGGGCCTCGGGATGAATTCGGAAAGTTTGGTTGTGAAATTGAGCAGCTTCAGCTGCTGCTCCTGTCATAACCGCACCTGCGGATTGAGGACCGCAGGTGCGAGGTCCGCAGAACCGCTAGAGCAACCGCAGAAGCGGTTAGAGCCAAGGATGCCAGGACCCGCGGATGCGAGGGGAGGAGCGCACCTGCGTGACCGCAGGTGCGAGTAGTAGACCGCAGATGCGGCTACGATCAGAGAAGTAAAAACCGCAGATGCGGTTGGTTAGACCGCAGTAAGCGGTACCGCAGAAGCGAGAAAGGAGTCGCAGGTGCGACATCCCTGGGCAGAAACTATATAAGCATCCCTTCGCGAATTTTTGCCCATTTCCACCATTTTTGAGACGGGATTGGAGCTTTTGGAGGATTTTGAAGAGGAAATCAAGGGGATTCTTGTTGAGTTAAGATTTTTGAACTTAATACTCGTATATATGGTGAATTTCAGTTGATTAAACATGGAAATTGAAGAGATTAGGGGTAAAAAATTGGAAAACTAGGGCTTGAAATTGGAGAGTTAAAATTTGGGATTTGAGGGGCCATTTGAGGTCCGATTTTGATGTTCTTGGTATGTATAGACTCGTGGGAGGATAAGGATTCTAGTGATGTGATTTCTATCGAATTTCGAGATGTGGGCCTGGGGGTCGGGTTTGGCCAATTTCAGGATTTTCGAGTTGATTTGCTTATTTTCGCTTGGGCTTTGTTCCTTTAGCATATATTGATGTTATGATTCTGATTTTGGATAGATTCGGGGCGATTTGAGGCCGATTCGAGTGGCAAAGGTATCGCGGAGTAGATTTTCATCCGGTTTGAGGTAAGTAACGATTGTAAATCTAGACCTGAGGGTATGAACCCCAGAATTTCGTACTGTTTGGATAAATGAGGTGACGCACATGCTAGGTGACGGGCGTGTGGGCGTGCACCCGTAGGGCTTGTGACTTGGTCTGTCCCGCGACAACTGTAGAGTTGCTTATTTTGATAAACTCTATATAATATCTATGTGTTTTAGAAATGAATCTGTTAATTTGGGCTAAATGCCATGTTTGGGGCCTTGTGCCGAACTGTTTGGACCCTCAGGGGTATTTTACTACTTTCCTCACACTGTTTTGATTCCAAAGCATATCCAGTCATGATTTTTACTAGTTTACTTTTGATTCAATTTCATTACTCTGTTTTAAATAATTGAAAGTTGTTTGGGCTGAGTTCCCCGATTTTTTCACTGAAATACCCGAGTGGCTGTGAGGTTGATGACTGAGAGAGGCCGAGGGCCGGATGGTGAGCATTATATATATATATATATTTATGGATCGGGCTGCACGCCGCAGCGATATTGAATGTATATGGATCGGGCTGCGTGCCGCAACGATGTATTGGATCGGGCTGCACGCCGTAGCGATATAGCACTTGGGTTGTAGGAGCCTTCCGGAGTTTGCACACCCCCAGTGAGCGCAGTCGACTATATATATATGGATCGGGCTGCACGCCGCAACGGTTATTATAAGGTACCTATTGAGCGTGAGTGCTTGGTGTGAGCGCTGATTGAGGAGAGTTGAGTCTCGAGTGACTGAGAGGCTTGCCCGAGGGGCTATATGTATATGAGTAATGCTTTGCCCGATGGGCTTGTTTTATAAAATTACTGATTTCACTTCTCCTTAAAGTGAGTCTATATTGAATATGTTGGACTAAATTACCGATTTCACTCATCTTTATACTGAGCCTGTATAGAAAATGTTAAACAAATGTTTTGAACAACTTTCATTGAAACTGGAGTTTTTGCGAGATGTTCGGAATTTAATCACCGATTTGGCTTTGTTATTCCTCTGGCACTTTTCCTGTTTTGAGATGTATATGCTTTATGTTTTGCCCGAGGAGCCGTATACGAACTACGCTGAACCTCTACTGAACTGTTAAAAAGACATTTTTCAAAGGATTTTTTTTACTGAAGTCGGAGTTTTAACGAGATGATTTGATTTATATCCTGTTTTGGAAACATACCGTACCCACTGTGGTGCTATGTCGTGGTTTACGTGATTTCTTATTACTCAGTAATTATTTAATTTTATTACTTACTGGGTTGGCGTACTCATATTACTCCCTGCACCTTGTGTGCAGATCCAGATTTTTCTGAGCTCGGTGGCAGGTTCATTGGATATTTCAGGCTTATATTGTATTAAGTAGACAGTGTTGAATTGTATTTAGTGGCTCATGACTAGTGACACCCCGATGTCGGGCTTGTGTATTTATTTCGCACTATTCATTTAGATTTACATCAGGAGATTGTTGATTAATAAATGGTATAAAAAGGACTTTTATTGAAAAATGGTTAACTCGGGAGTTGTGTCGGCTGGCCTAGTTCCACGATAGACGCCATCACGACCGGGTCGGTTTTAGGGTCGTGACACTTAGGACTTGAGTCTTTGGTGCAAATTGTATCATGTGAAGGCCGTGTACGCGAGGTGACGAGTATGTGCTCGGACTTATTTGTTGAAATTTGACTGTTTAGGGCTCTTAGATTCTCATGTTCATTAGATATGAAATTTTTTGTCATATTAAATCCCCTATTTTTGCTAAATTCTCCCTTACGTGTCTTATTTGGAATTAAATTGCTTCATGGTCTACCCTTATTGCCTATTAAAATCTTATGAGCCTTAACTAAAGTTGTTTCCTCTTTTATTGCCATGCTATCCTTTCCCTAATTGTTCATCCTTAATTGAAGTTATTATTGTCTTTTCCATAATTGCTTATCCTTAATTAAATTTATTGTATTTCTTCCGCGATTGCTCAACCCCAAATGAAGT